GAAGAGACACACACACCTTTCCTCGACGACGTCTCGGGAGACACTGAGCCAAGATGGCGTCGAGATTGGGCTTTGGGTCAAAACTTTTCTTTCTATTCTTGAATTCATGTTTACTTCGTTGTCTTCGTGAATTCATCTTGGTGATTTGTCATTATATTTGTTTTCGTGTGTAATTCGTTTCTAAGATTATCCGGTTTCTTAATTTGTTCGTCTTCTTTTTTTTTTTAGTAATTTTGATGCAGTCCAGTGGGTTATTTTCTTTTCCATTTCCGTTTATAAAACTATCATTAGTGTATTTTTTAGCATTAGAATAATGCTGTCTCTCCCTCCCCCCCTCCTCCCTCTTTCTGTCTCTCTCTCTCTCTCTCTCTCTCTCTCTCTCTCTCTCTCTCTCATCTTCCTCTTCTATCTCTCTCGTTATATATATATATATATATATAAATATATATATATATATATATATTATATATATATATAATATATATATATATATATATATAACACACACACACACACACACACACACACAGGCACAACAACACACACACACAACACACACCACACACACATTTACACAAACAATACATTATAGGACACAGCCACACCACACCCACACACACAGACCACCAAAATACACACAAACACATGCAACACACACACAGACATCTCACACCAATTACACATACACGCACAACACATTAAACACACACAATTCAATGTTATCTCACACAGACAGTAACACAAACACACAACACACACAAACTTTCACACAAATAACACACAAACACTTCCACATTGTACAAAGCTGCGCGGCACGATAACACACAACACTCACACAAGCACAAACCACACCACACAGAAACACAACACACAACACAAATACAACAGACACACACTGCACAAACACACACAAAATAACCACATCACGTACACATACCACACACGCTCACACAAAACAGCACACACACAAACACACACAGACATCCAGTACCCACACACAGCACTCTCAAAACATATACAACAAACACATAAAACACACTGCACACAAACACACACAAAAAACACCACTCACGTACACACACACACAACGCTCACACAAACACACGCACCAGCAAACAAACACACACAGACATACAGACACACACACACTCTCAAACATATACACACACAAACACGCACTGGCGCAAACGCATAGACACACACATACACTCACAGATCACACGAACACACACACACGCACGCACAATCACACAAACACACAGACACACACACACGCGCACACACACAAACACACACACATACACACAAACACACACAGACACGCTCACGCAGACTCACTCACACGCACACACACACATACTCACAAACACACACACACACACGCACACACACACATACTCACATAAACGCACACACACACACACACACACTTCACACATTCACATAACACACACACTCACACACGCAGGCACACACACAAACACTCACACACAAACGCACACGCACACACACACGCACTCACACAAACACACAGACACACACACACTCACACAAACACACATACACACACACACATACTCACACAAACACACACACACGCTCACACACACACTCGCTCACGCAAAACACTCACACGCACACACACACACACACTCACAGAATCACTCGAACACACATGCAAACACACTCACACACACACACACACACACACACACACAACACACACACAAAAAGGACACACAGACACACATACACACTCACAAACACACAGACATACAGACATACACACACACTCACAAACATACACGCACACAGACACTCACAGAATCACACGAATACACACACAAACACAGAAACACACAGAAACATACGCACACACACAAACACACACTGACAGAAACGCACAAACACATAGACACACACACAGACACACTCACACTCACAAACACACAGATATACAGGCATACACACACGCTCACAAAAATACACAGACACACACTCACAGAATCACACGAATACACACACCCAAACAAAGAAACACACAGACACACATACGCACACACACATAAACACACACAAACACATAGACACACATACTCACAAACACACAGACATACAGACACACACACACACACGCACACACACTGACACAAACACACACACGCACACACACACACATTCACACGCACACACCCACAGAATCACACGAACACACACACAAACACACAATCACACAAACACACAGACACACAGAAACACACAGATGCATTCCCACACACACACACACTCACACAAGCACACACCCACACAAACGTACAAATACACACACACACATTCATATACACACACAAGCACACACACAAATATGGAAAAAAGGCAAAATGAAAGTGAGAGAGAGAGAGAGAGAGAGAGAGAGAGAGAGAGAGAGAGAGAGAGAGAGAGAGAGAGAGAGAGAGAGAGAGAGAGAGAGAGAGAGAGAGAGAGAGAGAGAGAGAGAGAGAGAGAGAGAGAGAGAGCGAAAGAGAGAGAGAGAGAGAGAGAGAGAGAGAGAGAGAGAGAGAGAGAGAGAGAGAGAGAGAGAGAGAGAGAGAGAGAGAGAGAGAGAGAGAGAGAGAGAGAGAGAGAGAGAGAGAGAGAGAGAGAGAGAGAGAGAGAGAGAGAGAGAGAGAGAGAGAGAGAGAGAGAGATGGAAGGGGAGGAGAACGAGGAGGAGAGAGAGAGAGAGAGAAGAGGAAAGGGAAAATAGAGAACGAGGAATATTGAAATGTGAAAGTCCCTCCTGTGTAGTTTTCTGTAAAGTTGTTATCTCAGAGTATGGGAATCTGGCGATCCGGATTCACTTACGCGAACGGCAACAAAGACGTTAAATTTACTTAAAACGTTAAATTTACTTCAATATCAGTAAGTTGTTAGTTTACTTAGACTAAACAAAAGTCTAAAATCCTATAAAACAAGAAAGAAGAAGAGGTTGTTAGTTTATTTAGACTAAACAAAAGTCTAAATCCCTATAAAACAAGAAAGAAGAAGAGGTTGTTAGTTTATTTAGACTAAACAAAAGTCTAAATCCTATAAACAAGAAGAAGTTTATTGCTTATGATTGTTCATTATTAGTTTTACATGATTTCCACCAAGAAAAGCCACGATAGAAGAAGTAAACAGATAAGTAAAATAACTGAATGGAGAAGGAGGGACAATATTATTAGAGATTTTGAAGTTTTGTGAACGTGAGAGAGAGAGAAACGGAGTGATTGCAGGTAAAAGGAAAGAGGGAGTGACGAACGTAGAGAGAATCAGTGCCTGCGTTTCATGTTAGCCTAAAGTAAGAAAAGATAATTATCTTCCAAAGGTGAACAATCTTCCTCTACAATTCCTTAGGCAAGATTATTATTATTATTATCATTATTATTATTATTATTATTATTATTATTATTATTATTATTATTATTATTATTATTATTATTATCATTATTATTATTATTATTGTTATTATTATATTAAGCTATATAATGAGCCACACTGAAAAAATCGAGATTTATACCCCCAAAGGTGTCACTGCAGGTCAAGATACAGCTAAGAAAGAATGAATAAAAGAAAGTCAGCTAATTACGTAAGAAAAACATGTTAGCTGATGTTTTAAATTCATCAAGAGTCGAAGAAGTTACAATCTCTGGAGGCAATCCATTCCAAAGTCTACAAATAGCAGTAAAAAAGCATCTAGAAAACTGACTGGTAGACGATCGACTTACATCAAATGTCATTGAATTGAGGGTCATAGAACTGGTAATTCTTGCAGGTTGATAAAAATCAGGTAAAAACTTATAGAGGGGATGTGAATTATCGGTTACAATCTTGTATAAAACTGAAAGACCCCCAATAACTCTACGATGTCCAGCGTCCAAATTTAAGTCAGACAGGAGAAATTTAATGGAATTAAAAGAACGATCAAGTAGTCTTAAGTGTGAGTTTGGATTGGTTCCTTACGTATGGAGATCTGGTGCTGCGCAAGGAAAATGGTGTAAATGTGTTGTTTTGTCAAATTTGCACAAACATTTACTATTCACATTGTAGAGGACTTGATAGTTGATCTGTATGAAAAAAGACTTTTTTCTCTGAATAGTCTCTAAGCTTTTTACATACTCAGATTTTCTTTTCTTTCCATATGCTGTGTAAAATCATGATGTAACAATTCTGGTATCATCACAGTATTTTTTATATTAGTATTCTTATTATTATTACTATTCTTCTTATTATTATTATTACTATTCTTCTTCATCTTATTATTATTATTACTATTATTATTATTATTATTATTACTATTATTTTTTTCTTTTCACATAATCATTGTGGTAATCATTAAAATTTCCATTACTTTTATGAGAAATTGTTATCATTTTTATTACAATATAACCTCAATAACATTATTTTTTAGTTATTTATTCTTATCATAATTGTGATAATTTCTGAAATATAATAATTCTTGAAGATATTTTCAATTAGATCTTTTATTGTTTTATCATTTTTTTTATTATTATTTCTCTATTTATTTATGATATCTTTGTTTTATCATTATTGTTGTTATTATTATTTCTCTACTTATTTATTTTATTTATTGTTTTATCACTATTGTTAGTATTATCTGATTTATTCATTATATTGGTATAATGCTAATATTGACACAATAAAAAGACAACTAGCTTCATTTTTTTCCATCCTTCTTACAGGAGACTACGTAGGAAAGAGAAGCCTAAGTTCGTTTTCTCTGCCCTCGTCTCTCTCGTCCAGTCAAGCCAGGAGCCTCCTGTGTTGAGACCCAAGGAAAGATCATGGAAGAAGGAGTTTAGCTGTTTCTTATTTTATTACTCCACATTTGTGGGTAAATGTGGAGAGATAAATTTATGTACATATGCATTTGTATGTATATATATATGTGTGTGTGTGTGTGTGTGTGTGTGTGTGTGTGTGTGTGTGTGTGTGTGTGTGTGTGTGTGTGTGTGTGTGTG